TTATAAACATGAAAAACAAGATTTAGAAGTCAAACCTAAAACAATTCATTCATTAAATGACAATCAAATTAGAGGGGTTGCAATGGGCCGTCATGTGGAAAATTGTTCCCACTTTCCCAAACAAATGCCTGGGTCTAAAGACGCCGTGCATTATCTTTGAAGTTTGAACAAACAGAATAAAAGATTTAATTAAACTCATTTTTGCATGGATAATTAGAGATTTAAATAAATACTTTTTGCTGAACGTTGGATAATATAAATTTGTGGAGAAACAACAAAATATCCAGCTTCTGTCTAAATATCTAAACCTGCTTTCACTGTTTCAGAATATGATAAGACATTAAACACTCACTAGGTGGCGTCAGTGCTGCTTTCCTGTTTTCCCCTTCTCACATCAGTGCACACGCTCCAGTCGCGTCATCCAGTCTGCAGAGCTCCAGCTGGGTCTAAAATGGAAACACAAAATCAAAAGTTAAGCAAACACTGATCTCAAAAAGCATCAACAGCACTGGAGCTACTAGGACTGCAAATAAGTTACATTCATTACTATCTGAGAGTAATCCACTAGTCCTTAACCATAACAGAGGTTTAAGTGAAATTATTCATAATTATCAATAGTCGAGTGAGAATTAGAAAAAAAGCCTATTTATTAAGAACGGTGCAGCAATACATGTTATAGCAGGAAAAAAAAAAAAGGCACTTACACTTTAGGGGATTTCAGATTCTCCAGCTTTGCCATCGCACACATGCCGGACGCAGAGACTAAATCAAATATACCAGCATATACATGCACACATTTTATAGTAACAACCTCAAAGTAGTGTTTCTTCTTGTGCTGTGAGCTGAAACATCTTCAAGGTAACATTTCCAGGATTTTGTAATTTAGGACCAATTCCAAACATAGAAGTCCACCCCACCACACACACAAAAGTTTTTATTTTGACGAAATTACTGGGGAAAAACTTGAAAAATGTCATCTTTTCATACCTTTCACATTGAGAAACAAGTTAAGTTGTGACTAACACTGCTGAAAAATCTTCAATAACCCAACAATAGCTTTTAACATTTGATATAACAGATAATTTTATTTTAAAAAAGTATTTGTGTAGATGCAAAAATGTTCAGTTTAAATACAATCTAAAATTAATCTTTTAAACTGTATATGTATTTTTTTGTAATACTGGGAATGGACTACTTTTTTAAAACAATATGAATCTTCTAACAATTCTATGACAAAGCAACATTTAGCTCAGCAAAAGCATATTGTAGAGTATGTATACAAATACATAGCACAACCAATAAAACGCATATTTGCAAACGTGGTCTGTATCAGCTCCTCATAAATAATCTAAATCCAACAACTGTGAACAAGGAGGACAAGTCAAACATTGTCCTGTGCTACAGAAGTTCTCTGTTCTGCTCCGTTCTTCATAAATATAAGAGAAATACTCTTCTGATCAGAATCCCTGTCTCACGTGTGTTAGTTTGTCTGGAGTGTTTTCAGGTGGAGTCCTCGAGGCTGCCGCTTTTCTGTTCACAGTCACAGAGCCGGTGCATGATGCTTTGCAGGCTGGGCTCCACAATACCAAGCAGGGGCCTCTGCGAAGGGTCCCCATTCCAGCAGGCCTCCATCAGCTGCCAGCACTCCTCATCAAAACTGGGTAGGCGCTCTGGTCTGGATCCTTGAGACGACATGGACACAAATGAATCACTCACGGGCTGACAGATACATACAGAGGCCCAAAACAAACAAGTGTGACCTCAGGTAAACTTAAGGTCAACATCTTTTCTGAGGCGTTTCATTTGTAAACACCAGCCTCAGACAGATTAGGTCTGAGGCTATGATTTAGCACTTTTGTCGTTGAGACAACACTTACGGTGCTTTAATACCTGGAATGTGGTTTGTTCAGTTCAAACTAACACCGGTATGTTTGCCCATTAAGTCCTGTTCATTTGGGCTGGTGTGAGAGCTGTTCAGACCAAAACCACCAGAAAAGCAACTATCAGTCTGCTTCCAAGACGACTTCAGCACAGTTTGTTTGTGGTGTGAAAACTAATGGACCAACCACAGCATTTTGTGACAGTATAAGCAGTTATTTCTTCATGGATTGGCGCCACCACAGAGTGTGAATAAACATATCGAAAGCATTAAAGTGTTACTGGTATTTGATTTCCCCATGTGAGTCTATGTACCACTTACTTACGATGCAGGCTGATATCACCAAAACTATAATCAGTCACTTTAGGTACAGCATTTGGTGTGTTTGTCAAAACCACAACTAAAAAGCAACAAAGTACTTTTTTTTTTTTCTTGGTCTGGACCCTTTACCTTTCTTAACGTTATTCCAGAGCTGGTCCTTGCTGCAGCATTTCTCAAAGGCTTCTGGGAGTTTTACTGAACCAGTACAGAGATACCAGAAGAGGATCCCAAAGGCGTAGACATCAACAGAGTTGTCATACTTTCCTGTCAGGAGGAGAGGAAACCTTAAAGCAACTGACGTACATTCCTGTCATAAGCAACGACACACTGCTACTGTGATAACAGATAACATGTACATTACAGGTCATTTACCAGGGTTGTCCTTTTAAGTAAACAAAGAATGTGACAAAAGGTTTTTCAGACTCTGAAAGCATTTTTTTTTTGGCTTCATGATTAATTATTGATAGCGTTCAGTCATCTTTCTGCTCAGGCGTCGTACCTGTAAACAGCTCTGGAGCCATGTGGATGGGGGTTCCAACAATGCTACCAGACATCATGGCCTCTGGTTTACAAAAGCCCAGGTCAGTGATCTTTGCACGATTTTGTTTGTCCAACTGGAAGGAAGTAAAGAGTGGAGGGCTCAGTCAGTCAGTCGAAAAATAAAAAAAAAAAAAAAAAAAAAAAAAAAGGTGCCCATCAGTGTATTTTTTAATGGAAAGATGGTTGATCTACACTTACCAGGACGTTTTTTAGCTTAATGTCTCTGTGCAGCAGGCCCTGATTATGCAGGAAGCGGATGCCCTCCACCACATCGAGAGCAATCTGAAGTCTCTCCTTCAGTAATAAACCAGCCTGACACAGATGAAATAGAACAACACATAAGACAAGAGAGACTGAACTGGATGTACAGAGCAAGTTGGAAGATTATAGTGTTTTCCTGCAAACCATGATATGGCTCTTTTCACTGGATTATCAAGTCACCTTCAAGCCTGTGTAGAGGTCTCTATGCAGTCGCTCCATGATGAGCAGCACAGCAATGCTTGAGCCATCTCCGTAGGTGTGATCAATCACTGAGCCATGCATGTCAACAAGACGCTCATGCTTGGACAAAGACCTGAAGTAACACACACCCAAAGGGAGCGGGGAGGACAAACATGTTTCAGCCATATAATCATAAAATATTCACATGGTTTACTGTATCACAGCTTGTCAACATTAAGGCAGCCAGAGTGAGGCCGCATTCCTCAGATTCATGACAACTGATGTCAACAGGACACCGTCTCTTCATTACATAGATGTGTGGGCATAACAGCCTTAAGCAGTCAAAACCAGCTTTTATGAACTGGGTGGGGTTTCACCTTTATAACAAGGGAACTGTCACATCCAATTAAAACAGCATGGCTCTGGATAAATGCAGCTTCTTGTAAATCTATTCTAGCCTTCGGGAAATTCCTACACACCACCAGCTTCTGTGAGTACCTAGTTTTATATCTCTGGTGGTTAGCTGTGAAGATCTAAAGTAAGCATGAGATCACCAAGATGGCCGCTGAGATCAAACCAAAGCAGATGTTGTTCCAAGTCTGTGTATGTGACACTTTTTTTATACTCCGACTTACTAACTCACCTTGTGTAGTGAAACTCTAAAGCCAGGTCATTCCAGTGTTTATCATCGGGCGGTACCACAGACTTTAAGGCACAAGGGTAGTGTCCTCCCCAGCTGTCACAGAAGTACACAACTCCATACTGGCCCCGACCCAACTCTCGACCAAGCTTCGGCTTGCCTGGTTTAAAAAAAGTGGTCAATTTGTTTTTACCTCAAAGTAGAAAACAAATGTCTGCACACAGGTTGCAAAGTAAAAAAAATTTAAAAAATAAAGGTATTTTGAAGTTCACATTAGTTTGATGTGGTTTGATACTGTGGGTCTGTCCCAGTTTAACCAGGCTGTTGTCTCTGTAACAGATTTTCCCCCTCTGGTTAAAAAATGCTGGCTAAAATACATCTGAATGATGCCAGAGTCATAAGTGGTCATGTACATGAGATGCAATTTACAGACACTCTGAAAAGTACATTTTGCAGCAGTGTGTGAGCAGCCTGCGAGTTCCATGCTGTGTGTGTGGCCAATAGGAGGATTTGATGGTGACTCACCGTGCAGCAGCACATCCCTGAGGGAGCGGCTCTCCAGAGACAGGCGGGCCAGTCGAGGGGCGTGGTCCTTCCGCACACGCAGCCACAGGTCCTCGGTGCGCTCCAGACGCCCTGTATGCCCCTCCTCCAACTACAACGTGACATAACACTTCATGGTTAGCGTTAGCAGATGGTAAATGACTGGTTTCATTTGCTAACAGTTACTTCTTGTGTTAGTGTGACTTTCTGTATTGCAAATACTGACTTAGGTTTTAAGAGTCCAAGCTTATCTTTTCTGTGTGCCTCAATAAGCTCTTTAAATTGTTTACTGAAAATTTTTCTTCTTCCTAATACAAAAAGGAAAAACAGAACCCTATAACAAGCACAGTAAGCAGTGTTTTCCATACAATGATTTATTTATGGCAGGCTGCCACAATATCAACACTAACCGCCTTCTCTCCATGCATGTATTTTTAACACATGCTGTCAGGCGCAGAGATCCAATTCTTCTAATATGTTATTTGCAAGCTAGTAAAGCTAGTTAAGCTAACATTATAATACAGCTGTTGCTAAGGTCAGCACACTGTATACAGCATGGATGTACATGGAGCACTCTGCAAGTGGATAACATTAAAGCTAGCTCATAAACTTTGATGCTGAACGCTTGCTCCCTCGATCCAGGGGAATAGGAAAACTAGAGGGGAAAAAAAACATGGGAAAGCTGTGTCATTAACAATCCAACTGATTAATTTCGAATATTTATTGGCGTCAACTAGTGCTGCAAATAAAACACAGGAAAATGTGCATTACAGTATTTACAATTATGCCTTCTATGAATAACATATAAACAGTTCTAATAAAAGGCTTTTAAATAAGATCCTATTATAGCTAGACTTGCATCCTTTTCTTTAAACCACATCATTAAACATCAGAAGGTGCTGTCACCATGGAAACTGTTGCCACTGAGGACCACCCAGATTCTCAGTGAGGACAGACCAGCTATGGTGATATGTCAGGCTGGTTAATGCACAGCTCTGGCCAACACAGTTGTTCCTTGAGCCATTTCTTTCTTTTCTTTTTTAAAAGAGACAGTGACAGCACATGAATATCCATCTGTGTAGCTGCTTTCCTACAAAATACTGATGGTCTGATAACTGTACAAACTCCTTGGAGTCCACCTTGACAACAGGCTGCACTTACTTAGCTTACCCCACTGAACTGTCTGTACTCTGAGGCCTATCTGACAAACCAGTGGTTTGATGGTGTTAGAAATATTTTTATGGACACTTTCAGTAAGAGACTGAGGCAAAGACAGACGGTAAAGAAGGAAGAAAGTCAACCTGTCGCAGCGATGCTGCAAAGGCCTCATGGGAACTGTTGAGGCGGGTTCTGAACTGGGAGCAGATGCTTCGGGCCAGTTTGGCAGCGCTGAGACTTTCTATGGCGTCCTGGGCCACTTTCCGCTTCCACTCCGTAGTGATGGCAGGAGGGTTCACAAATGTTATCCTATGGATTATCTAGGAGCGAAATACAGAGTTGATGATAAAGCATCCCTTCATCATGAATTCCAAAACTCCTGTGGCTGAATTTTGGAGACACCGACCTGTTTAATTTGCTCCCAGACAAGTCGTGTGACAGAAGATCCTGAATGAAAGGTGACCTCCACATGGTAAGCAGCATTTAATAACTGACAGATGAGAAAAGGAAACAAATAAGCAAGAAAAATGGTTATATGAACAGTAGAGGGAGCCAGAGCTGGTAAGTTCTCAGCACTTTTATTGTGTATTATTAAAAAACATAAAGCTCTAATCTCTGTTACTAGTGTGATCATACTGCTCACATGTAAACATCTTCATATTTAACACTTACTGAAGAAAATGTTAAATATGGTTCCGTTGTTCATGAGCTATTGCCCACCTGTTTGAGGTGATTTGAAGTAATATTGTAGACAGAAGAATCAATGTTCGATTTCTCCAGACTGTTGAGACATCGCTCCAGAGTTCCTACAAAGCTCTCCCTCAGATAGTCCACAGAGCTTATCAGCTTATTTGCCACGGCCTGATTCAGACGGATCACTATCAGCTCCTGGATCTGGTGGATACAGGATTTGATGTCCTTCGAACTAACAGGCTCTCCATTAGTTGTTACAATGATGTCTGCAGGTGACAGAAAGTAGTTTGACAAGGTTATATGTGGTGTATACAGAAATGAATGGGGTCAGATATTAGTATGAGACAGTCACTTGACATTGAACATATAATAATGTGCTGATACATGAGAACCAAGTGCTAAGTATTCACATCATAAAACAGTCTGTATTCTGTTCAGCCTGCTGGGTTTAGATTCAGTGTCCATGCAACTAGCCAAAGATCAGTGGAATTTAAAAATAACAAGCACCTCTCACACGCTTCCACAACGTATGGTATCATATTGTAAACTTTTATTTACTTGAGAGACAGGAAACACAGGCAGCAGCTAAAATAGTCCCACTATTATTTTGCCAAAAAATAGAGCAGTGTTGGAATAAGAGTTAAATATTTACAGTGCCACTTTTAGCTATTAAAGCAATTTATGGAAAAATAATGTTGGTAAAAATGTTAAAAGTGTGCTGTGGACTTTTATCTGTCTTGTCACTAGTGATATTGGGACATATAAATAAAACTCTCTTGTAACTTGCGGAGTTTTTGACCACTAGTATTGCCATTGAGCAGTTTTGTGACATAATGCACATTCTTGCCACAGTTTCACTGCTCTACAGGACGTAAACAATACAGGACTTAAATGTAATACATTCACCAAGTCTGTTAGATCTTGAGGACACACACACACACGCACACACACACGCACACACACACGCACACGCACACTGCGGTGAGTACCACTGGCCGTAAACAGGAACAGAATCTATGAGGCACCTTTAATTCTTTACATCAGAGCTGGCCTGGGGTTGCCAGAGTGTTGTCTGCACTGTGCCAAAGAAGGAGTAAAGTCTGTTCAAACTTTATTGTTTAGTTTTTTGACTATTCGTGAACACTTTTTTTTAATTGTTAAAATAAGTTGAGTTCAGACTGTAGCCACTCATTTGTATTTTTTTATTTTCATTATTCATTAAGGTTAAACAAATTATCATTTCAGAAATGTGTGTTTCATTTGTTATTAAACTGGTCTAATATCTGATTTGGGGGGGTTTCACACATGATATCAGCATTATATATTAGCCATATTAGCCTCTCTTCTTTCTAAATAATCAGCACTGCCATCGGCCATTGAAAAACCCATATCAATTGACCACTAAAACGCAATAACCAGTCAGATAGTGCAAAAGGGACTGTTTCATGCAGCCATGCCCCCACAGGTCTAACAAGGGCTCAAGGCAATAAAGAAACTTGCTTTGAGTAACTAATGCTGCGAGTTAAAAAGTCAGGCCAGCAAAGATAGGTCAGCTGTCCACTTAGTCTCACTGACAATATCACAACTGTAATAAAAAATAGAAACAATTATCTGAATAAGGCAGAGACATAATAAAGAGCAAATGCTTTCCAATCAACCTGGAGCAAAACAAATGAGTCACAAGTGTGGTCATGGTTGGGTAATCAAATGTGAAACCACAGAATCCAAGTAACTAGGAAAATCGCACTGCTTGCTTTCTAGAATCTAAAATTAACTGATGTAACTAAGGAACACACTTCCAATTTTATCCACAATACATCCTCTTTGCCTAACAATCCTCACTTCAAAATGTAGCATATCTAAGGTGGAGAAAATATGTTCCGTAGAAGTGCTATAAGATGCAATGAGATCTTTGAAATGTCACTATGACTTTTGTCTGAAAAGAAAATCTACTTTTTCTACCGTAAAGTCAGGACTGAGTGTAAATCCATCGTCACAAATTACTCAGAGATCAAAGGCTGTGGCTTTTTCTAAACAATATACAAGTAAACTGATACATGACATCTTGTCTGTTTATACTGAATTCATCATTTGAAGCTTGAGATGAATTAAATGATTTGCTAAAAGTATGTCTTGCCCTCTATCTTTGCTGACCACACACCATGCAACAAAACCACACAGCAAGTAATAAATTACTCATGATGTCTTCTTCTATATCAAGTCAAACCACAAGCATTCACAAATGAATCAATTAGTAGCATGAAATCATAACAAATAAAAAGAGAAAATTAAATCACAAGTACCCAGAGGTCATGTTTGGATCAGAATAATAATTTTGTCCTGGTCTATGGCAGTGATATTTATTCAAGCCATTGTTTGCACACTGTAACACAACACATTAGTTTTACTTCCTATGGTCTTGCAGCTTTTAGGTAACATCTGTCTGGACTTGTTTTGATGGCATCAGAACCTCTGTTTTGATATAAACAAGCTTGATCAGACTTTAAATTCTTCACTGTCATCACCTCTCTGCAGCTTTTCTCAACTCTCTTATCCAAGTCTGCTATCAAATAATGGTTCTGGTTTTATCTGTCAAGTGTGCTCTAATCAAACAAATATCAAAACAAGTTAAAGTTTATGAACAGATTTATTCATTCTATTTTATGTATCTCAACTTTATTAGGTAATTAGTATTCCTTTCACTTCTCAGAGATGATCAGAGACAGAGAAAAACCACAAAAGAGAAGCCCAGCCTGTCTCGTGGCATTTATCCAGGGTGCTTACCCACTAACCTGTAAACTCCAGGTTTGCAGCATCCTCCAGCAACTGATCTTTCATGCTGCTTAGAGTCTCCACAATCATCTCCTTCATCTCTTCCTGTTTGCGGTTAGCAATGGCCATAAGAGAGTTGAAGAGTTCACCCTCTTTCTCACGGGTGTACTCCAGCCTGCGAGGAGTTATCTGCAGGTCCCTCTGCATGTCAAAGGCCTGCAGCAAAATGACGCAGAAAGGACAAAAGGTCACTGGGTGATTACACAGACTGGGACCAAGCAGCTCATGCAGTGGTACTAAAAACTGCCGAATAAGAAGCAGTAAAATACTCAAAGACATACAGATAAACAATGCTAGGAGGTATTTTCCTCTGACCTGGTTGATGAAAAGGTCTAGACAGCGACAGTGTACTCCATTAAGTAGGGTGGCAGCCTCCACCTGCACATTTTGAAGCACTTGTCGTGCAAAAGGAACCAGCAACCGATGCAGTCTTTCAAATGCCTCTCCCAGCATACTCTGGGGCTTGGCACCTGGGGTGGGCATCTGTGTAGGAGCGCCACAGGAGCAGTTTCCTGTCGGGCTACTTAGGAAACCGAGGAAGAGCAACTGCTCGTGGAGGGTGCTCTTGTCCCTCTCCTTGTCCTTCTCCACACGGCAGCCAGCTTCCGGGGAGGCTGCCTGCATGGTGGCAGGGACACGAACAAAACAGATGGGAAAGGAGAGCATCTCTTTGACCTTCAAGAGGTCAGCCACCTGCTCTGTGCTTAGGGAGGCCCGGTTGATAGCATATAATATGATGGGGATCACACTGCGAGTGCAGTCTTCCAGTGCCTCTTCTATGGGCTGGACACTTGAACAAGGCACCACCATGACCTTTGCTTCCTAATGATGAACCACAGAAAGAAAAAGAAAAAAAACATACAGGTTAATTGTTAAGGCATGTGGCCCTGTAAAAGGGTCGGTTATTCCAAATTAAAACAAAAACATTTTCACATTTACTCATGGAGAGATGTAGCCAGGCAGACACTGCTAGGAGGATTTATGTGCCAATTTCTTTCAGTTTTATGCCACTGAAGCAAACATAAATAATCAAGATAAACTGAACTTAAAGGTGCCATAAAAAGTATTTGCTCAGATGACTGTGTAATGTGAAAGGTGTCACTTGTGGTAACAAACCCAGAAGATTATAAGCCAACTTCCCCTCATCCCCAAGGAGTTTAACAGCATCTTTCAACTCAGTTTTCATTTCCAGCCCACATCTTTGCTGTTAGGGTTCACTCTCTCCGCTCTCAACAGCACTATTCTAAGCCACAGAAGTTGGCCGGCGGCCCGTGAACTAAACCAATTTTTTAAATAAAGGTTAACAAATTTGTATAAATAACATTTTCAGCATTAAAAAAGTTCAGATTAACCTTCTGTACACTAGTTTCTCAGCACCAAACAGCAAAGTCAGCAGCTACGTAGGTGGAAAGCACAGTGGAGCATTCAGCAGCTGAAGCCACATATTTTCCTCAAGAGCTGGTAGAGGCCGAAGTCTGAGCTAAAAGAGAGTGAATATCAGACACAGCTAGCAAGAAACAACTCCGCATCAATGATAATGTCAGAGTCTGCTGTATATATAAATAGGCAACTGTTTGCTAACAAGTTAAGCCAATCGTTTAAAAAAAAGATAGTGCTGCGTTCAGTTAGATTCTGCTGTCTTAAGAGTAAATATATATATATATAAAATAAAATTTAATCAGCTATCTTTGCAGAAAAACCTGTAGAAAATACCAATAGGTTTACTTTTGTCAAATGTGTTTTATGTAATTTAGATGAAATGACCTTTTAACATCATACCATAAAATGGAGAAGACCACGTTCTCTTATATTAAGTGTTCAGGCAACTGGAGCACAGTTTTCAAACCAATTTAAGCTAGAAATTGTTTGAATGTTTATACTCCACTGCAAAAAGAAGAAAAACACATCCACGCATATCATGTGCTCTTTCTATTTCCACAAACATAAATATTTGAACTGATCTTGGGAACGTCTGTGAAGGGAGGGAAAAAGACAGCAGCAAAAAGCCTCGATAAATAATGACTAACAAAAACAGACAAGTAGAGAGTTTGAGAAGGACACCAGGAAGGGGTGTATATGTGTGTGTGTGTGTGTGTGTGTGTGCGCACACAGCCAGAGAAAAGAAGCAGAAATGAACAAGAGCTACACAAAGGAGACAGTCAATCCTGTCTCCAAGAAACAAGAGCGGAGCCCGTCTGAGCAGTCTCTTAGGAACAAAGATAGCCTGCAAACATTTGTTCACAACTAAAATCAATAAAATCTCTGAACTGCCTTAATGCAGCGTGTTATCTACAACAACCGTTCAAGAGAATGTCTGTGTGCTATTTCAAAGTTATTCTGGTTTTCATGTTAGTATGAGTTCACAGTACTGTCTCCATAACACAATTAGGACAAACAACTTTTTAAGGAATTATAAATTCCTTCTATATCTAATATCTCAACCCTGTTAAAGGATAAGATTGGTCATTTTCTATATCAACAGTATTTTCAACACTCTCCATACAGCGACTAAAGCCAACAACAAGTCTGTCAATCTGTCGGTACTGGATTGGTTTATTCATCTGTGCCTTTGACCTTCACTGTTGGTCAAAAATATTAAAAACGCATCAGGGAAACCCACTGCTGCGATGGATGACATGTTTCTCCATTAGGAAACACAAGAAGCTGACATTTGTTAAAGACATTCAGAGATTGCGTGCATGTGCAATTGACTGTTGCTTACTTCGGATGCTGTAAAAGTTATAGTTATTTGGAGCTTTCTGGTCAATACATTAACATATGCAGGTCCCGTGTTTTGTACTGAGGAAATGTGGTGTGTTTCACTTTTTAATAACTTCTGGATAACAACAGAGGTCTGTGGCACAGCCAAATTAATCCAGGTTGGATGCTGACAGACATTAACAATGAGCAGAGGTAATTCATTGCTGGTTTTAGTCTCTGAATGGAAAGTGCTGAAAGTACTATGTACATAGAAAATGACTGATCTTATGTAAATTTGTGGAGCTCTGGAAATCACCATAACAGACTAGGTACCTTAAAAGCATTTTAGAAATATGGTGATACATTAGCGCCCTATGTTCATGTGGTTACTGTGTGGTTAAGTTGAGGTGGGTAAACTCAGGGATGAAGAGAAACTAATTAGCATAGTTGGTGCTCATCTACTGGCCTCTAAAGCACATTGCTGTGATTATGGCAGGAGTGTGTGAATACCACAGCGAGCAGAGAGATTCTCTGCCTTCATTTACTCCAACCTGATCGACTTAATCTCTTATTCATTTACATCAGAAAAATTGCGGCTTTAGTTTGTGACAACATTGTGTTTACTACATGGCTGATGCAAACATACAGATTCACAAGTTCTAAAATGATATGCAAGTTTTAACTGAAGCTGTAGATACATTTTCATTGAGTGTGGTCAGAAAAAAAAGTTAAAACTAAATCTCTTCGAATGCATTAAATCCGGGATCACACAGTTTCTGATCTACGGCCGTTTTTGTATTATTACGAACAATAACTGAGCAATTTAAGTGTCAAGTGTCACAAAATCTTTGACTCAAATAGGGGTCTGCAGCTCCCGTGGGTTACAGTCAAATGTAAAAACAAACAAGGGGGTAAAATGAAAATTTCATTTCAGTTGTTCGGTGATTTGTCTGCTTTTGTTATGCCTTTGCTTTTTTGTTTAGATTACACTCTACTAGAAATTGAAGCAATGATGAAGTTTTTTTTTATCTTTTGCCCATATTTAGTCAACTATAACTTTGTTTCTTTATAGTGCTCTAACAGACAGACCATAAAAAGATTTATACAAAATCTATACCATGGATTTTACCAGTGTTTAAAAATTCAGCAACACAAGAAAATGTTAATAACTGTCCCATGTGAACTCTAATTAAATTGCTCGCACATAGTCATTCCACAACTCAGATGAGGCAATTAACCGGCAGGTATTTACCTCAAACACACACTATCAAGATGCAATCACTGTTTATGTGCATAATCAGAGTAAACATTAGTCGACATGAATAAACCGTGTCCCAAAAGTCAGCTATAACCATGGCAACTTTATCAAAGCAAAGGTTTTGGGATTTTCATTATATGACCTAGTCATGTGAATCGCATCAGAACAGTCCATTACGTAACGGGGGACGGGCGGGCGGGCTGCCCTGAGGCAGGACGAAGCCTAGTTTCTGTGCTGTGTGATGCTCACTAAGAGGCCTTGGTCTACAAGATTAGAGGCTAATTTCCATGTTCACACATGATATGGGATGACTACAATCCTACACCATGCTAAATCAATTCTCGCCCACAAAGTTTTGTCATTTTCAGGTCGCACTGAATTTCTTCCTTGTAGCTTCAACAGTCATTCATGAGTCTGTTTTTTTAAAAAGTGCTTAAAACCTGAACACGAAGAAAAAAAGTTATACTGCTGAGAAGTACCACAACTCAGATAAAGTAAACCACTGAGCAACACAAGAAATAATCAGCTCTGCTCAGTAATCTGTGAGCTAAGCCATGTGTGAATATAGAGGTTGGTTCAAGCCAGAGACACTGATGAAAGAAAGAAACCAGTCAATCATTTCTTTTGTCCAGGGTTACAGGAGAAAATACCAGCACATATTGTTTTTTAGTAGTTGTTTAATCTACCTATTTCAGAAAATGATACAGTGAGTGTCATATACCCCATATTTCAGATGGAGAACAAAACAGAAATATCAATGAGACCAACCCATTTCTGCTCACGCTTTAGACAAAAAACTATATGCATTTATTCTACATCTTCTTCCAAAAATAACACAATGAGCAACATGGTTAAATCACACAGGTCCACTCTATGCATTTAAAAACTGAGTAAAAGTATCAAAGTTCATAAAAAGGAAACCAAGTAATTGTGGTGACATCCAACACAATGCACTTAAGAATTTCCTGTTTCATATGAAGTTTCATGTAAGAGAGTAGATTCAGAAGAGCTGCACTTCATCTGAAGCCTACCTGTAGAAGTGGGTGATGCAGGGTGATCTCCAGCTCTGCTAGCCTGTGAGCTGGGTCCTCACATTCCTCATGGATCTCCAGGTCCTCCCGGGGAACCGTATCCCAGCGACCACAGTTAGCCGCCAACTGGTGCACCAGCTCATACTGGCCGGGCAGCGCCAAACTGAGCCGTGTCTGTCTCCCATGGGTGAAACACAGCTTCCGCCTCTTGCAGACAGTGCCCTGGACTCCTTCACAAGCCTCACCGGCCTCAGGCCCCAGGGGCAGCAGCCTCTCCCCCAGAAGGCAGTTGAGCAGCTGGTAGCGGGCAGCACAGTCCTGACCCAGTATCAGGATGTATGGGGCAGCACCCACTGTGTTGCGTAGGAACTCTTCCTCATAGCTAGGGAAAGCAATGCAGCTGAGCTGACCTAAAGGAACAGACAGAACAAAAGGAGGCATATGATGTTGAAATGTGGATTGAGAACCACACTTATCTAAATTTTAATCACTTTCCCTGAGAAATACTGTTCGCTTCTGAAATTATGGAGCTTTTTAGGAAATCTTGGTCAGCAGTGCAAGCAGAGCGAGGGTATTCAATGAGCCCCGAGTAACAGAAGCAAAGAAGGATGCAAGTCTGGATGGCATTAGCTCCGGGCTCCTTAAGTCCTGTGCAGATCAGCTGTGTGGGATCTCAGGGACATGTTCAACATGCGCCTGAGGCTGGGGAGAGTACCACAGCTGTGAAAACCATCCTGTACGGCACTGGTGACAAAGACACAGCACCCAAAGGACCTGAACAGCTACAACCTGGTGGCACTAACATCACAACTGATGACAACACTGGAGAGGCTGGTCCTTTTCCATCTCCACCCACTGACGAGCTCATGTCTGGACCTGCCTCAGTTTGCGTACCAGCCTGGCATTGGGGTGGATGACACTGTCATCTACCTCCTTGACAGCCTCATCACACATAAGGATGACAGGGAGTACAGAGAACTGATCCAGGACTTTGTGGACTTGAGTCTGCAGAACCACCGAACTACCTCCAGACCAGACAAACTGGTCAAGAGGACCAGCTCTGTCCTGGGAAGTCCACTTGACCCAGTGCAGGCAGTGGCTTAGAGGAGGGTGTTAGCCAAGCCAACATTCC